GGGAGGAAGTGGGAGGGGAGCTGTTGCATTGTGGGAAATTGTAGTCAATGTCATGAGACAGTGTATGTGAGCTGCTGTATGGAAGATGAATTTGCTCTGCAAATTTTTACCTAAATCATAATAAAATTAAAAAAATAAAGATAAAAAAAGACGCGGTAAACATTGCTACAGGCTTGTTATCCTAACAGAGAAAGCCCTATACCCGAGAGATCATATCCACCACAGGGGTTCTGGCTGTTAGGTCCCTATGAACCGAAGGAAACACTGCCCAGTCCCACACCATCCTCACAGCCATTGCTCAAGCCCATCTTGGCAGCCACTGTGTTAATCTACTCATTGAGGGCTCTCCCCTTTCCACTGACTCTCTACGAAACATGAAGTCCTTCCCCAGGGACCGTCCTGATAACATGACCAAAGTACGAGAGACAAAGTCTCAGCATCCTTGCTTCTAAGGAGCATTCTGACTGTATTTCATCCAAGACGTGCTGGTTTGTTCTTCTGGCAATCCGTGGTGTATTCAGAATTTTTCACCAACACCGTATTCAATGCATATTCAAGTACATCAACTCTTCGGTCTTCCTTATTCATTGTCCAGCTTTCACACACATGTGAGGTGATTGAAAAGGGTCAAGTGCACCTTAATCTTCAAAGTGACATCTTTGTTCTTTAAAGAGGTCTTTTGCAGCAGATTTACCCAATGCAATATGTCATTTGATTTCTTGACTGCTGCTTCAATGAGTGTTGATTATGGATCCACGTTAAATGAAATCTTTGACAACTTTAATCTTTTCTCTCTTTATCATGATGTTACTTATTGATCCAGTTGTGAGGATTTTTGTTTTCTTTATATTGAGGTGTAATCCATACTGAAGGCCAGAGTCTTTGATCTTCAGATCAATGAGTACTTCAAGTCATCTTCACTTTCAGCAAGCAAGGTTGGGTCATCTGCATGTCACAGGATGTTAATGAACCTTCCTCCAATCCCGATGCCAAATTCTTCTTCATATAGTCCAGCTTCTGGGACTATTTGCTCAGCATAGAGATTGAATAGATATAGTGAAAGGATACAACCCTGACACACACCTTTCCTGATTTTAAACCATGCAGTGTCTCCCTGTTCTGTTCAAACAACAGCCTCCTGGTCTACGTATAGGTTCCTCATGAGTACAATCAAGTGGTCTGGAAGTCCCATTCTTCTCAATGTTGTCCATAATTTGTTATGATCCATACAGTTGAATGCCTTTGCATCGTCAATAAAACATAAGTAAACATCTTTCTGGC